GCAGACCATGGACCCCTGCAACTCGTCGGTGGGCACAATTGCGTACATGAGCCCTGAGAGAATCAATTCCGATCTAAATCAGGGCCAGTACAATGGTTATGCTGGGGATATTTGGAGCTTTGGAGTTAGCATATTGGAATTCTATCTTGGAAGGTTTCCTCTTGCTGTGGAGAGACCCGGGGATTGGGCGAGCTTGATGTGCGCAATATGTATGGCTCAGCCCCCGGAGGCGCCGCCCACCGCCACGCCGGAGTTCCGCCACTTTATTTCCTGTTGTTTGCAGCGAGAGGCTTGGAGGAGATGGACTGCAGCTCGATTGTTGGATCACCCATTTATAACAGGGAAGAGCAGAGCAAGCCAGTACCAGAACCAGCAGGCTCATCACCAGAATCTCCGGCAACTATTACCTCCTCCGCCCCTTCATCCTTCCAGCCTTTCTTGAGTCTTGATAAAATTTGATTTCTTTTCTCCTTTTCTTGAATTTTACTCTCTTCTCTGTCTTCCTGAGAAGCATGACGCCATTGTTTTCCTGTAATTTTTCTGGAATAGCCGAAGGAATGGGAAATTATTTGCTGTTTAGATCTCACGACATTTTTCAAGAACATTGATAAATCTGTAATCTCTTACCCCCGGCTGAAATTTTAGGCAAAGTCAAATTTGTTCTAGCTTTCCTCAACTTAATCTCGTTAGATTAGATGTGGGTTTCTTTTGGATATATTACTATTCGTGTCCTCATTTCTTGCCATTCTTAGTTTGAGTTTACATTTCTTAAGCCATCAAAGCCTATTCTTACCAAAGCTGGTATTATAAATATAAACTGTGTGCAAGAAAAACCCCTCTTTTTGCCTTTTTCAATCATTTGTTTTTGTTTGTGGAATCAGTTAACTTGTAAAAGCTAAATAACAATAACAATGGCCTCTCTTTGTTAGGACCATAATACTTGATTGCCTGAGAAGCCTATAACTCCGGCTTCTGCAATGCTTTCTTCATTTCTTTGCACTCAGAGAGCTGATAATCATACCGCCATGGTTAGAGCTTAAAAGGAGGAAACCACAACCCATCGTAATAAGTATTTTGACTTGAAATTGACCTTTTTTAGGACAAATCTCGTGTTACATAACATTAAGCATGGTGTGCTTAATGTTTGAAAAACTTCCTTGAGTTCACGTTACGTTTAAAGCAAGTTCAACCAAGACCATAATAAGCAGCAGATTGAATGGGCCAGAACAAGTAAAACTACTTGTGTATGCGTTTTCCACGCACCCCATTTTCTTCTTCCACATGTGAATGAACATACAATTTTCCATAATGGAAGCAGAAGCAGAAGCAGAAGCAGCAGCCATCACACGAGATTGAGATTTGAGGATGAGAGAGGCTTAAATTCGTGCTGTTGGGCCAACCATTTTGTGAGCAAAATCCTCCAGAGTTGAAAACTTCCTCAGCTGGTCCTTTATTCTCAACAAAGTTTCTTCCTTTTTTTTTCCCTCTCGCCATGTACCCACCCCACCAAAGAAACCACAGCAGTTATTTTTTTCAAATTAAAGGTCAATTTTTTAACTGTCAAGAAGATTGAAAACGGAATCAAACCCCACCCCAGAAGTATTTTTCAAACTAGCAATGGGGTTTGATTAAGTTTACGGCTAATTATTCTGTTTTTGTTTATTTAATTTTAATTGTGTAACCAATAAATATACAAGTCAAAGTTAACGGGGAAGACGAAAAGGGACGATATTTCGCAGAAGCTTCCTAGCTGCTGTGCAGCTTGCTATATTGCCTTCCCTTCCCCATCCACCACCCAACTCGTCTTGTTCGTCGCTTGATCTGTAACTTTTGGTGAAGCCCAGAATCTTATTTCGGAGAACTTTCCTTGTGCTGGCCTTCGCCGGCTTGGCTTGCCAGAATTTTTATTTCTAAGCAACTGAATCACATATCCGATCCCAACTAGTGGGCCCCGACTGCTTCTTGTCTTATTTTCGCCCCTTCTTGCTTTTGAGGGTTGGTATCTCAGCTCGATTTGGAGTGTTCTTGATCATTCTGCAGCTGGGATTCGACCTGGATATCCTCGTTGCATCAGTTCAAGTTCACCTCCAATCTGGTAAATGCTCTCTCACTTCTCTTCCTCACTCTTTTTATTAGTAGGGCAGCTAAATCTCGTTTTAATCTCCACCCTTTTGTGATAGACTCGATCTGATTTCTTCTTTCTGTAATATGTAAGAATGCTTCGGGTATAACATGTGGAAGATGAAGTAACCAATGAGTAGCACGTGTAAATCAACCCAGATTTGTATAATAGTGTAGTCTTATTAGAAATGATCTTTTATGTATCAGAAGTGGAAAGCTTTAATTGATCAATATAACAATGCTTGCAGATGGGATCAATAGAGGAGAAAACAAATTACCTATCAGATGAAGAGATTCCATTCAGGTCATCACCAGTCGCGAAGAATGTATTGCATAGTTTTGATTTTGAGACGGCTCATGTGCGTTCTTCCCCAGATGCTTCAACATGGTGGAATATTAACAACATTCGTATTAGACCTCTCAAAAGTGCATATATAGTGTTGGTTAGAGCAAAGATCAACGTGTTGCTACCTTTTGGTCCTTTGGCAATTCTGCTACATTATTTAACTGGAAAACATGTAAGAAGAACTCATCATAATTTGTATTAAGCAGATGGCATGATTGGATTTGAAAAGAAAGAAATTTTTGAATGCTTCGTAAATTTTTCATGGAAGAGAAGCTCCTTGACATCAAAAGATTTTCTCTTTCTATTTGATTTGATAAGGATATAGCCTATGACCTCTCTGTGATGCTGTCATTTATAACTTCTATTGATCTACTCGTAAAAACTTGGATCTTCGAACATTCTAGTTTTCAGATATTTTTTGCTGCTTAGTATCGTGGCTTGTATGATTTGTCTCATGGTTCATAATTCCTTGATAGTCAGTTTTATATGTCAGGGATGGGTCTTCTTTTTCACTTTACTTGGAATTACACCTTTGGCAGAACGTCTTGGTTATGCAACTGAGTAAGATTTGGCTTCCCATATTTGCAGTTTAAGTTTTCGTATTATTTTCATTGTGCCACACTTACGTTTAAAAATACTTGTGATGCAGGCAACTTGCTTTCTACACTGGTCCAACAGGTATAAGTGCTACCATGATCATGCATTGCTTGCTTTGGTCATTTTTTTTATTCAAGTAGTTCCTCTTTTTGATGTCCTAACATAATAAGAAATTTAAATGGGTTTAGTTACTCTAAATGGTGGCTGTTTGGTTAGTTTCCTTAAACACTCAAATGTTCTAATGGGCTTTGCAGTTGGTGGTCTTTTGAACGCAACTTTTGGAAATGCAACCGAAATGATTATATCAATTTACGCATTAAAGAGTGGGATGATTAGGGTTGTTCAACAGTCATTACTGGGGTCAATCTTGTCAAATATGCTCCTAGTTCTTGGTTGCGCTTTCTTCACTGGTGGGATTATTCATCATAAGAAGGTGCAGACTTTTAATAAGGTACATGTTTTTGAGGAAACAATGCCATTATTTTGGTGATATTTTTACTCCCATTTTATTGGTTTACATTAAAACCTGACTATTTTGCAACAGGGTACTGCTGTTGTGAATTCAGGATTGTTGTTGATGGCTGTTATGGGAACAACTTTTCCGGCTGTGCTTCATTTCACCCACACAGAACTTCATTTTGGGGAGTCAGCATTGTCTCTTTCAAGATTTAGCAGTTGTATAATGTTAGTTGCATATGCAAGCTACCTTTTTTTTCAACTAAAAAGTCAGCATAATCTTTATGGTCCTCTTGATGAGGTGAGTCTATTTGGCTCTATGTTTGGATCTTGCTTTTGATTGTTGTTCTTTGGTTACCAAGCAATAGCTCCTCCAAATAACTTGGCTTCTTTTATCCATGACTTACAATAATAGGTCACAACTAGGAATCAAGATTTGCCACATCCATCGGAAATCTAAGTAAATTATTCTTGCACTATAAATTTGTTTTAGAAATGGCCATCGGGTGTTGTGCATCAAGAGCTCGAAGTGATGGCCATATAACAAAAATAAATGGGAATCTATTACCACCAAGAATTGCTAATGTTTGATATTACCATCCAGTTCTTTCTTTTGGGGGGGTGGTTTGGTGTGTGTTACTCTACCCATGTCCTTAGTTTGTCCTTTATATTGATAATACCAGATTTGTTTCTTAGGAAAAAAAAAGGAATTGCTAATGTGAGCATAGCTGAATTATCATACATGGCCTTAAGCACATGGGTCTTATATATATGGTGAACTTTAACTCGACTATGGAGTATATATTAGGAATGGGGATGCAATGGTGAGGCATGCACCTACTAAGGAGATGGTCTTTTTCAAAAAAGTAATAATAATAATATGAAGGCATCAAGGCAAGCATCTATTCATGTAAGATTTTTAGAGGTTGTTTGCATTGTTAGCATGTGCCCACGCTTCATAACACAGAATCAATTAAATGGCCAACAATATCTTTTCCAAGCAGGAGTTCAATTTTCAACCAGAGATTCTTTTAACTATAATGGTTTTTATATTTCTACAGGAAGTTGATGATGGAGATGCGGATGCTTCTGAAATGTTTGCCTGGGAAGCAATTGGATGGCTTGCTATCTTGACTGTATGGGTGTCTGTTTTATCTGGATACCTTGTGGATGCCATCCAGGTAAATTTTACTCCGATCAGATCATAGCTTATCTATGCACTTCTTTTCGCGATTATGTTGTATTTTGTGATTGTTTGATTTTCTTGTCAATCCATGGGCTGACTCTGATATTTGTTCTTGATTGCTCAAAGCTTAAGTGAAGCTTACAAACTTTAATCAATTGGTTTCTTATCCAGAAACAGTTGACAAAAGATAAAATAACAGCAATAAGATAAATAAGAACAAAAAGTATTTTTCAAATAGAAGTTAATTGAAATTAGTTTTCAAATTTATTCTTCAAAGCAGTTATCATAAAACACATCGAAAGACAGGCCTTAGCTTCATGGAATGGGCTTTGACTCCATTATTAGTTTGTGATGAATTCAAGAGTGATTTAGCTTTCAGCTTATAAGGTTAATGTCCTTGTGTCCTTTAATCTCTACTGGTGACCTATAGGTCAAAGGGGCAAGCTTGAAATTCACTTGTGAGAAGCTATGAGTTCTATTACTTACCTAAAATTTCGACATTGTATGAATTTCTTAACCCCGAAATTTGTAGGTTTAAACAGTAGTCCTATGGGACAAACCCATGGTTCTGTCTTCTGTGTTCTGTCCTCGTTTGCGTTGGGATTATCCATATTTTCTTTGTGTAATCTTCAAATTCTGAGCTTAGGCAGTAGCAATTATTTTGATCGTTGGACTTCCTCTCTCTGACTTTTCCCTCCTTTTTTCTTTCCCATTGAGTGTATAAAATCCTCGCAGTGTTCATCAAATTTAATTAGTTTGTGGGTGCTTTCTCAGGGAGCATCCGAGTCATTAAATTTGCCAGTGGCGTTTATTAGTGTAATTTTGTTGCCCATTGTTGGAAATGCTGCCGAACATGCAAGTGCAATCATGTTTGCCATGAAGGATAAGCTTGTGAGTACTTTGTGGATTTTTTCATTTTCTTCTAATCATCTCTTTTCTTTGGCTTGATTGACCTAAACGTTACTGCAGGACATAACCCTTGGAGTTGCTATTGGATCATCTACACAAATATCCATGTTTGTGGTAAGTCTTGAAATGGTAGTATCCCACATGATTAGTGAATTGTAGCAAAACTTTAGGTGAAATGGTAACATAATTTATATTAGTTTGAGAATTTTGACTTGAATTTTGTACATTATGTTGGATAGGAATTGATTTTATATTGGTAGCTGTAATTAAGTTTTCACTTAGATGACTTTGTGCCATTGATGATTGTAGATCCCGTTTTGCGTGGTCGTTGGATGGTGCATGGGAAAACCAATGGACTTGAACTTTAAACTCTTTGAGACAGCAACTCTGTTTATCACCGTGCTAGTGGTAGCCTTTATGTTGCAGGTTTGTTACCTTCTATCCATCCTCCTGTGATTAAATTCCTGGAATTTCATAGCTAGCTGTGCTGTATAAATAACTCTGTGGGGCTATTACTTTTGAATTTTTCAGTGCATTTTCATTTTCTTTTTATATCCGTGAGTGTCCAGGTTGATACGTTTTCATTTACAACCATTTAAAAAAAAAAGAGCCATTCAATCAAACATGAAGTTTAGTATAAATGAGAACGGGAATCAAAAGTTGGTTATCCACGAGAAGTTCTCTTGACAAGTTGAGTATAAATGCATCAGACATTCTAGGACTAGAACTATTGCTGACTTAATTTTGTATGTTCTGTATGATTAATCATTGTTCTCATCTGCTTGGCATTGGTCATATTTGCAGGAAGGGACATCAAATTATTTCAAAGGTCTAATGCTTATTCTATGCTACCTCATTGTGGCTGCCAGTTTTTTTGTACATGTTGACCCTAGCAATGGTGAGTAGTTACTCCTTGAATCCACCAACTTGTTGGTCATTTCAAAGCTCTGCACACAATCTATTTATCCCTATCCATTACAAACTGCATACAGACTTTGACATCCATCTAGTAGTATTTACATGTCCATTTCCAATAGGGGAAGATATTTGAGTATTTGAAACGAAGTGTATGTTTGGTAACATCATCGTTTCTCATTTCTTGTTTGTTCCTGAAATTTTTGTTCGAGGAAATGAGCAACAGAAAATAAAAAACATTACCAAATGCACATGCTTTTATGAACTAGAAAGCGGAAACAAGAACCTAAAAATGAGAATGTTGTCAAATAGTCCCTATGCTGATAGTGTAAATGATATACTCAGATTTCCGATAGATATGTTTTTTTACTACAATCTTTTGAACCATTTTATCTTTAAGAATTTTTGCTCGAGTTAGGAGCATAGGATTCCTTTCTCATTAAAATATTTAATAGCTAGGATTGCAATGAATTTAGCTAAAATATCTCTGAGAAAATAATTATTTATGGATTACTACTCAGATGATGATTAACCCTCAAAGCAAGTTGGCCCTGGAACTTTACTGCAAGCTGAACTTTCGCATTGCATTAGTTCTCAAACCACCATTGCTGCAGTTCGTTGGAACCTGCAAACATTAGAGGACTCACAGAAATGGTTTTGATTGTATGGAGTTTGGCTTCATTAGCTAAACTGTACTGTAATATTTTTTGTGGTCTGACAGTTGATCTTTTCTCTTCATTTGTCATCTTCCTCTTTAACTTGTCTATCATAAACTTGAGCTGTAATCTATATTCATTAATTGTAAGATCTTCCTTTCAACGTTCTTCTTTGTCTTATCTAACCAAGTGTCAGCCGATTAAAACAAACTACATTTCACCACCTGATACCAGTAGGACCATGGAAAAGCCCAGGACGAGGATGGAAAATTACAGAGGTAAACAACTTTCCATCAAAGGGGGTAAAGTTTAAATTTCTAAAAATATCTCTAGGTGATTTGTTTGCTTTGAATTTAGAACTAATCTATGAAATGTTCTTATATAAAAAGTTAACACATTTCTATGTTATTGTTACATAATACTTGAAGTTCGACAAAATAGTATTCACACTAAAAAGCGGCCAAAAGTTATAAGTACTGCTTCTTTGTAATGGTGGTGTTGTCTTGTGATTTCATAAACCAGTATAATTGTAATATTGTGAAATGACTTGTACAAGATTGTACGAGGTTCATCATTATGATGGAACATTTTGTCCATCACCATGTATTGTCTTATTGAATGATATCTTGTAGTTGAACCATCTTGTCCCAAATAATTCTGTAGTTGGCAACATATCTCTCTCAAACAATAATGTAATGATGATAACACTCTGGAATTTTGGTTACAATATCCAACAAACTAGACAAAGAATTAAATTCCATTAACTGAAAACTATAGGCATTAACAAGCAAGACTGAGCCCCAGAATCAAGCAAGACTGAGCCCCAGAATAGCACAGAGAAAATAATGGCTTGAGAATGAGTTGGAATTAGCAAAATAAACTAGGAGGCAAAAGATGTGGGCTTCTTTGAAGGAACAATGTCCCACACCCAGACAAATTCCAAGGTGGGAGATTTTACAGTTACAACTTTTTAGCTTAGCTAAACATAATGTATTCTAATCAAACAAGCACATCAATTAAAGCACGGTGCCGACAATGTACATATTTATTTAAATCGAAATCTTATCCAATCCAATCCCACTTGGCTATTAATCGTAAAGATGTTTGACCTTTTTTGTTTATATGACATACAATCTTTTGCCTTCAACTCTGAGTAATGAAAGTTTTAACGTATGTGTGTATATACATATAAGACAAGGAGATTTGGTAATCAAGATCGATATACTATACTCCTTCCAAATACAACATTCCAGGGTAGGTAATCAGGAACTGGGCGATCTCTTTTGATAATATTGTTCTGTTTTTGTCGACAAACAGGGATCTTACTTATATAATATATGTCTGGGGTCAGAACTGCTAACCTTAAAAGTTTTCTGTGTGGAATAAGCTTATAGCATGTAGAGGAATGGACATAGCTTGCTCTTTCATCGCCAAGTGAAAACCATTGATATTATTAAAGGGTTTTATTCTCCTTACCAAGCCTCACGGAGTCTATATAATTTGTGAGGTAATGAGCCGAAATACCAGGAAGTGCCAGTCCCATCACCCTTGCCAATATGCAAAAACATCCCTCCCTGTATTCAGGTCCATGAATGTAGCCCATCAAAAAGCTTCTGATTAGCTCCCACAAAGCATTGAGATGCTGTGGTATCAGGTATTTAATCCCAAAGAAATTCTTGTTCGGTTCCTCATCTACTTTCTTCCAAGTATGCAGATAGCAAAAACAAAGTCACAGAGTTAGAACCACAAATTGGATTGAACTAGTAAGAAGTAACTAATACCTTAAAAGAAATGGCACAACTCTCAGACGGACATTTTTCTCTTGTTCATAACTTGAAAAACGAAATCTATTAGCAACAGAACACCACACCGTCGTGTTCTTGTAGGGGAAGTTGTTTCATGGAATAGTTCAGGTTCCTTACTGTGAAGAGTGGCTTAAGGTCGTTAAATTAGACGAAGCAGGAGTCAGAAGATGTACATACATGTTCAGTGAATAGGCTGTCATAGTATAGACAAACCCCAAAATGCTTAAAGAAGAAAGCAGTATCGTCGTAAGGCATCCTGGACACAAGGTCATTGCAGTAGACAACCCTGAAGTACTTTGGTGTAGGATTAACCAAATGGGCCTCCATGAAATGCCCCAGCTGCTTGTTCCCGACCCTAGGCTGCCCAAATGTATATACACCCAATAGCCTGCCCATTATTTCCATTTCCTTATGCAGCACGAGAACTGTAGGGAACAGAATTGCAAGTGCTCCACCTAAACTGTGACCAGCGACCACAAACTTTGCATTTTTATGCTCCATAAGTAATCTCCTGAGTCTAAGTTTCACTGCATAATATGCAGTCAACTGCACCACTTCTGGTGTAATTGCATCAGACTGTTCAGACTCGGAGGATGGATGTAATGTATCCTGTTCAATATTTTGATCAAGGTTTGAGAATGTGCTATTATCAAGACCACTTGAATCGGTGGAGCTTGTGCTTGCTTCTCCCTGGAGGTGACTATGGAAGCTATTAGCATCGTTTCTGTTGCCCAAACCGAGAGCCTCTAAGAATCCAATATGAATTTTCCCAACTTCCGGAATCTCATACCAGGAGTAGTCGAAATCAGTGCTCCAGTCATCTGCATCAAAAGGTTCAGTGCCCCTGAAGCTGATCAATATCAAATTCGCATCTTTAGGCTTATCACACAGTATGAACACCTGAGTAGAGCTGTCCTTTAGGAAATCTACAAAATTTTGTAGTGGTCAGAAAGAAGAGAAAAACAGAATTTGGTTAACCAATCTGTTGGCTTAAAAGTATATAAAAATGAGACCAAAGAAGGATAATGTATTACCATTCCAGCAACTGTAGAAGCCCACAAAATGCATCTGCTTCATTATTAACGATCAAAGTTAGAGAAGTTATCATGTAACCTGTAGCTGATATAGATTATCTTTAATTCTTAGATGAAACATAAATAGAAAATGAGAAGCGATGGAATATCTTGCCTTCCAGTGGCGAAGCACAATATTTTGGATGACCTTTTCATTCTCGTAGGATATTTTTGAAGCCATGATGCAAAGGTCCACTAGAGCCCGATTGCCCATTTCAAGTCCGAAACCTCTTTCTTCAGAAACAAATTCACCAGTTCTTTTAAGCAATTCGTCTTCATTTAATAGATTTATTCGCCCATCTGAATACCCAACGGTGCTGATAAAAGTCTCCGTGCCCCTCCTTGGCACCGCTACTTCTCCTGCTCAGTGGTTAAGAACGAGCATTCAGAAAATGCAGAGATTTCAAGTGTTAAACAAATAACAGTTAGGAATTGGTCAAATTCAGGAAAAATACTCAACAAAAGTACAAAACCCATATTAGAAACGTCGCTGTCTCCTAAGACTTGATGGTCAATCTGTCATATTATTATTTAACCAGTTCTTTGGACAGGGAAAATATTTTGTAGAGGATAGCCTTTTTATATTCACAGTTGGAAGTTTTCAAAAGATCAATGAATGCTTCTTATGTAAAATCTAGATATAGTGATATTTTCTGAGTTGGTTGAGATTTAAAAGCATATGGGCCCGCACCCCGTACGATGTTGCAGAGCAGTCCTGTGAGATTGCCATTCAAAGAGAGAAGATTGAGAGTGAATTCCACCACATAGCCAGTCCATTTCAGGGGTTTTGCTAGAACAGCAATAAGTTTTCGAATTATAATCGACACCAGTATCACCCATCTGCGTCCAGACACCGTCGCACCAATAACTCCCTCCTCGGAGCTCTCCAAGAATCTCCGTCCGCCATCGCCGTCCGGCCAAAGCCAGTACCGGAAAACATCTTTGATTCCGCCATTTTCCGGCCGCACAATAAGGTATCTGGAATCATTGCTACGGAGGGTCTCTTTGAATTGGGTGGTATCCATGTTTCAGACCCCCTCAGGTATCAATCTGAAGAAGAAGACGCCATCATGATCAGGATAAAGAGGTAGCAATCCGTATTTATGGAGAGAAGGAAAATGGATACCTTTGCCCATTCGGGTTTCCCAAAAATGAATTTAACCATTTCGGACGCATGAGTGCGAGGGAGACGCAATTTGGCATTAAATGCAACTTTATGGCAAGCCTTCTAAGTGCAGACTCAGTTCCTGTAGAGTTGGAAAGCATGTAAAGTTAGTAAAAGAAGATGGTCAGAGAATGAAGGCGAAAAGCTTATCCCAATACCCAAGTGAAAGGCATCTTCTTGCTGTGTTGGGAATGCGTGGAAGATACAAAATCTGAGAAAAAGTAAAGCAGTGAAAGAGAATTAAGAAATCTGGGAAGGGTTTTGTGACGTAGCGTATAATGTATGAATGAGAAACTCGAGCGTCTTACGGTTTGTTGTGCGACCACAAGTATGGTGTGGTTGCTTTTTCAAACCCATTTTTGTAGAGAGAAAGCGAGAATTATTATTATTTTTTTCTTTTGAATGGAAAAGCGTTACAGAATTTGTACAAGTTGTCAAAAAGTTTACTAGGGTTGGGATGAAAATTTACAGAGTAGTAAAGGTAGAAGAAAATCGTCCTTTTCTTGAAAGTTGAAACCTTAGTATTACAAATTCACAATCAATCAATGGGATATGGTGGTATGAAATGGAGGCCACCCGACCACCGACTCCACCGACGGGAAGTAGGGGCCGGGAGATACATAGGCAATGGCGTGGAGTGGGCTCCATCCAATTCCAATTTCCAAACTTTGGTGCTTTTCTGTCGCAAAACTGTTTGCGAAAATGCCGCAGACGCAGACCCCACTAGAAAATTGTCGTGGTGCGCAACATTTTCGAGCTCGTGATTCACCACGCCACTCCTCTGTCCACCAGTATTATCTTCTTTTCCTCTCGTCTCATGGCCCTTTCGTTTTCCAACCTTTTTTTGGGGTCCTGTTCACTATCACCGACACTACACTAGACGTTTTGACGCATTCCGAGGAATTGTTTTTGCAAACCAAGTTTACAGATTCCCTTTGCAAAATGAAAGAAAATAGTAATCTAAAAGAACGATCCCTCAGTTTGTTGTATCTTTGACGAAATGAAAGAATCTGATAATGATGTAGAATAGAAGACAGGAGCCCATTATGTTTATATCTTTGACTGACACTCCCCAAGATCCCATCATAATTTTGTTGTATGGGTTCCAAATTCTAAATTATGCAAACCCAGATGTCTCATGGAAAGCAGCACTGAGTAAAATGAAAGCGAGCACAACAAGTTCTGACACTGCCTTTCTGCTGCCTCTTAAGTCCCACCATTCGTCCGGAGTGCAGCTCTTTTGTTGGGCTCTGCATTTGTCTTTGACCCCTTCAGATATTCCGATCAATTTTCAAGCTTGTTGCTGGAAATCTTTGGTTTATGCGTCTCTAATGAACTAGAGTTTAGTTTAGCTGCCTACCTTTTAATTTTTCACTCTAGGATGATGGTTTGGTTGTTGAGAAAGCAAAGTTTTTCCATTACTGGTTTGGACCCGCTTAGGAAATGTGTTTGGAAGCTACTTAAAACTCGGCTGTTTAATTATCTGTACTTAACTAATTGCATTCATCTCTTGCTTGTAGGTTAAATAGAGCTGGTAATCCTCCTCGAGTGACTGCTTCTTGCAATTATTTATTTCCAATTTCTACCTCATCAAAACAGATGGTAGAAATAGAATATTCCACCAACCAAGGCTGTATTCGCTTTTTCTCTTTACGAAAAAGCAGAACACACAGCAGAAAGAAAATATTAAAAAAATCAAATTTTAACCCTGGAGAGATAGAGAGAGACAAAATAAGTGGCACAGTGATAAAATAGAGAGCTTTCCGAGGCCTTGGATACTATCTGACAGGTCGTGCCTGCCAGAGCTATAAAGAAACATTTTTCCCATTCTTAAAAAGGGTAAGGAGTAGAATTAAAGGAGAAAAAGAAAAGAAAGAGGCAAGCTGATTTGATTTTCTGCTTTTTCAAGCAGAGGGGGGAGAAAGCAAGTGACTGAGAGAGAAATGGTGAAGAACTGGAGTTGGGGAGAGCCGTTGCTGCTAATCAATATTTGCATTTTTGGATGGATGGCCAGTTTCATCAGCGGAGATACGGATCCAGGAGATGGTCAGTACCTGATTTCTTCCATTGCGTTTCACACTACTTGTTTTCCTTACCATTCGAAGTTTTTGCTTTTACAATAGCTTTCGGGCATTCCTTTTCTTCTTCTGTCTCTTCTCGGTTCCTCAATGTCCTTAACTGCATATACTGGAAAGCAAACTGAATGTTCCTCACATTACTTATTTTCAGCCAGACTTCAGTTTTCACATCAGAAGACCACTTACAACCCTTAATAAGAAAAATGATTTTAGTGATTTTCAGACTAACTGGTTTCCAGTTCGAAGAATGTTGCTTCTACTAGTATTAGGGCCCTTATCATATCAGGAACTTTCCGTCCTCCCTGCTAGGAGCTTCATTAAAAACAGTGGTTTCAGCAGCGCAAGCGTGATGGCTACTGGCTATGTCACAATTTTCAGCCTAAGAGAATGTGATAGTGCGGTACTTAGAGATGCCTCATTTTGGACTTTGATAAGGATACTATTTCAGTAGACCTTGTTTGCTTCAGAAAAACAACAATAAATGGATGAAGAAATTGTGCAAGAACTCCACATTGTGCCTATTTATTATAGGCTAAAGAGACCACCTTTTATGATCCTATATGTACTTTATTTAGTGTTTGAGCCGCAGGAAGTTTTGCTAGAATAATGAAGAAGACCTCACCCCTGTAGACTCCCTCTTTACTTTTTTTCTTTAGTTCAATAATTATGGGTAGTAACGGAACCATCAACCTTTGAGACGAGCTCTCTCTTTTATCTTGAACACTGCAGTCACCCCCTTAGAAGACCTTTACTTTGTATCTGCTCCTTGGCTGTAACCTGAACAATTTTACTTGTCTATTTGATGGAAGTAGGTCGTGCATTGTTACTTCGAAAGTGATATTTTGACATCTTCCTGTAGATTATTATACAATTTATCCTTAACTCACAGAAGATACGTTAGCTGGAAAGTTATTATAATATTTATTTGAACGAAATCAGTTGCTCGTCCACATAGATATCTTACTACTTGCATTATTTATGCAGTGTCTGCTCTAAATTCCATGTATAGTAGTTTAAACTTGCCTCCAATTCTAATACAATGGAGTTCAAGTGGTGGAGATCCATGTGGGCTAACTTGGAAAGGAATTACTTGCTCGGGCTCACGGGTCACAGAAATGTATCTCTCTCTTGCCCTGTTATATAGCATTTATATGCAATTTAACATTTGTGTAATATCACTTATATATATATAATTTGTTTCAGTTCATTGTCTGGCTTAGGGCTTTCTGGATCACTGGGATACCAGCTCTCAAGTTTGACAGCTCTAATTAATCTGTAAGATCTATGATCATGTTTGTCAAATGGATATATATACTTATTTTCTTAATCAATATATGTATATGGATAATATGTCAATAATTTCAATTTGCAGAGATGTGAGTATCAACAATCTTGGACCTGACATACCTTATCAACTCCCTCAAAACTTGCAAAAACTGTATGCTTCTATTGTCATTCATTCTGACAAAGTTATATTTCCATTCCAACTTGTAAAATTATTTTCTTTCTGCAGAAACCTTGGATCTAATAACTACAGTGGAAGCTTACCCTATTCTATTTCTCAAATGAGTTCGCTTATTTCCTTGTTAGTAACTTTCAGGTTTTCTTTTTCCTTTTATGCATTCTACCTGCATGTTGAAGCTAAATCTTGGTCTCTGTTCTTCTCCCTCCCCTCCTAACTTGGAATTGTAGAAACATCAGCCACAATCAGCTTCGGAATCAAGTGAATGATATGTTCTGGAACCTTTCTTCCCTGTCCACGTTGTGAGTTCTCATTTTGTCCAAAATTCAGATGAATTTAACTAAACATTTTCATTGCTTTCATTCTTTTTTGTGCTTTTTTTGTCGGTTCTTTTAGCAATAGCATTACCATACATTAGCAAATACCTATAGAGAATTTAATTTTTTAATTTTTCTTAATTTTTTTTACCACATGGTTAAATATATCACTTGCTTCTATCTCATTTTTCAGGCATGGATGCTATCTTCTCATTCTCACTGCAGTTTTCCTTTGTTTAAATTTTCTCAAAAAACCATTCCAACTGAATTACCTTCAGTTAAAGATATGAACCAACAACCATCTAGTAATGGAAAAGATATTTTAGTTGATTCTCTTTAAATTTAAAGAGTCATTAACTTGCTTTCCCTTCTTCAGGGATTTCTCTTTCAATTCTTTGTCAGGTGCCCTCCCCCAGAGTTTTAGCAACCTCACCAGTATGAACTCAATGTGAGTACTGAATAATTACTTAGTGTGGAAAAGATATGTACTAATGCTAATTCTCCATATTTTTCCTTCAAATTTTCTGTAGGTTTCTGCAGAACAACCAATTAAGTGGCACTATTGACGTTCTTGCAAATCTTCCACTACAAAATTTGTGCGTATTCTCATATGACTACTTCATAGTAGGAACTTAGCATGTACAAACAACTTATATTGCATTTTCCTTAGGAATGTCGAGAACAACAATTTTACTGGATGGATTCCTGAACGATTGAAGAATATAAATATACAGTGAGTAATTGACCAATATTATTATCTTCTCTAATACATTGTGTTTAACTAAATGTTCTAGTCTAATTAAATGTGAGCAACTTTGTTACAGGGAGGGTGCCAATTCTTGGAGCTTTGGGCTTGCACCCCCACCTCCACCCGGTACGCCAGTCAACCAAAATTACAGATATCACAAGCCTGGGATCAATTACAGCCCACTGAGTAGTGACGCTGGTGGTGGAGGTAGCAGTAGATCAGGAATCAGTGGTGGTGCCATTGCAGGAATTCTTATATCTGTGATAGTAGTTGGAGCGGTACTAGCATATCTCCTTGTAAAGCGAAGACCAAAGAGGTCATCCACAGACATAGAAAAGCAAAAGCAAAAGCTTGGGAACCTGCCTAGCGTATCTCCTGCTTCAAATGAAGTGCAAGGTAACCATCTTCAACTGCTTCCTTATTCATTGGGAAGCATGCATTTTATAATTATTTGTTCAGTTGTTATCTTTTCTAGTTCAATATGTTACGTTTTTTGAGTTCTTCCGCAGCTTTTGAGTTCCCCTGTACATGTATAGCTTCTGCAAATTGGAACTGAATTGACAATCTCTCCATGAAGGAGCTTGTGCTCTCTCCCATTTTGCTGCTTCTTAGGAATTTGTTTCCTATCTTCATGTTTTAACTGACGTCATAAATAATTCTCTCTTATGCACATGACCTTTTTACATCCCACCATTTATTATGTTGTGCCCTATGTTCCCGCCCATACTATTCCCATGTCTTTTCTTTGATGATATCGGTTTTTTGGTGTTAATGCCTATAACAGAGACTTAAGCAAGAACAAAGAACATGGTTCTTATGGTTTCACCTCTGAGGTCTTCTGACAATTGTTGGAACATCCTCAAATTGTTGGAATATTCCGACTACTTTTTTTTGTACTAGTATCATTATTGGCAATGTTAATGAAACTTACATTCATCTCATCCCCAAGAAATTAGAAGCAAAGAGCGTCATAGACAATAGACCTATTAGCCTCACTACCAGGCTTTACAAAATCATCTCTAAAGTGCTTGCTGAGAGACTTAAAAGTGTCTTTTCCCCATACTATCACAAAGAACCCATTTGCTTTCATTGATGGGAGACAAATCATAGACTGAAACATTATTGCCATTGACTATTGAGTTGATTGAATAATGGACTCAGAAAGAGAAAGAAAGCTGTCATTAGACATTGAAAAAGCCTTTGATTAAGTAGATTGGCTTGAGGTTAAATGCCAACCTTATCAAAACCAAACTTTTCAGTCTTAATTTTAAGGAAACTCTGATGCAAGAAATAGCCTATACTTTCAAATGCACGATAGACTCTTGGCCCACCAATTATCTCAGCCTTCCATGGAATGACAATCCCGAATACTTAGCCCTTTGGGAACTGACTAAAGTTACAGAAGAAGCTACAAGGATGAAAAAACCTCCTCCCGAGGAGAGAGATACCTTGATTCAAGCCTCTTTATCTAGTCTCCCTCATATTACATGTCCCTGTTCAAAATGCCTAGGAAGATCGTTGTTTTAGTAGAGAAAATGTTGGACTTTTATTGGATGGCTCCAACCACCACCTTGTCAATTTGTGTAAAGCTTCTTGTCCCTTCTCCAGTGTAAATTTTTTATTGGGCAACTCTCTCTTATAAACCCGGTCTTCCTTTTATTTTTCTTTATACAAAAACCAGGTCTTTCTTGATAAATGGAGTTGGCGTTGTGCTCTTAAAAAGAGTGCCCTGTGGACAATAGTCACAATCGCTAAGTTTGGTTCCTCCCCCCAAGATTGGTGGCCAGCTGATCACACCATCAAAATGCTCCAAAAGGCCCTCGGAAGAAGGATACATGGAAATTTTAAAATCTCTTTATACAGTGTTGGAATTTTGGAAATGACCTCAACATCAACTTTTGGGTAGATGCTTGGAGAGGTAACATTAACACCCCTATTCTTCCCTCAAAATCCTTTATAATCGCTCTTCCGATGCCCACTAGTCCAGGACCCAATTATGAATAAAGGAGCTCTCAATTTGGAACCTCAATTTTCAAAGGAACGTCAAGAAAGAGGAATATATGGATTGGCTCTCCCTCATGTATTTAAGCCTGTTCCCTAATCAGTCACCTGGACTGTTGGACATGGCTATATGGACTCTTCGGGTTCTTTTACTTGATTGGTGTGCAAACCACGCAAAAATTAGAATCACAAGACCACATTTTTTGTCTCTGGTCAATTTACCAATTTTTTTGGAACCAAATCCTTCCTCTTTCGGATGGACCTTTCAAGAAAAAATTACCTCCAACCTTCTCTCCCTTTCGCTTAAACACCCTTTCAAGAAAAAGACCAAAAATCCTTTACCTAAACATCAACAGAAGCTTCTTATGGAATACTTGGAGAGAAACCACAGAATTCTTGGTGGATTGGAAACTACCCTTACTTACTGATCGCATCCTTATTATAGCTGTCTCTTGGTGTAAGCTTAGCAATGTATTTTATAATTACTCTTTTAACTTTTGTAAAAATAAATAAATAAATAAAAGATAATTACTCTTAACTGATATATGTGCTAATTTGAAGGACTTCTTTTTATAATACCCATTAACCTCTCTCCTCTTTTCGTATATTTCATTGATTTACTGAAACTGTGTTACTTGYCGCGAAAAAAAATAAGTTGGCTATTCCTATGAGAGGGAGAGGGACGGAGGGAGGGGAAAAAACCACAACCACACACAATAGATAACTATTGTTGGTAATGCCTATTTTCCTGTTAATTGCACTTTGGGTTCACTGTAAATGTCCCCACATTGATGTAGTATCCATTCTATTTCTTCTTTTCAACAAATAATAAAGTGGAATTAATTCAACTGAAGTTGTGCAAGTTCTGAACTTTCAAATGTAATTCTACATCTTCAATGTTGTGGGCATAATGAGGTTAAAAAATTCAATGTTATTGGCCTGCCTCTCAACTTTTTTGTATTCTGATGGAATGAGTTCTTTTGAAAGATTCATTGGCAGAGATGAAGCTTATTCATACTTCATCTTCATTTGACGCAAAAGCATTGGATTCTCCTGCTTCAATCAACCTTAAACCCCCACCTATTGAACGTCATAAATCATTTGATGACAATGATACATTGAAGATATCTGTTGTGAAGAATACCAATGCCGCCCCTCCGATAAGTGTGAGGTCATATTCAATAGCAGATCTGCAAATGGCTACAGGCAGCTTCAATGTAGAAAACCTTCTTGGTGAGGGATCGTTTGGACGTGTTTATCGGGCTCAGTTTGATGATGGAAAGGTACTTTTAACCTATTCAATCTTCTGTGTCTATTCGTTTCTGTCCATCTATGATCTATATATGATGTGAGTTCAGATCAGTCTGAGATCCTAATTCAGTCTCGCTTTAAGCACTCTTGTATTGATAAGTTTAGATATAACAGCTACTTGAAAACAAGAATAAAACTCCGAAAACCTGACTGTGGTTCACCTCTTGACAATAATATAGGTTCTTGCCGTGAAGAAAATAGATTCATCTGCCCTCCCTAGAGAACTTTTGGAAGATTTCACAGAGATCGTTGCCAATGTTTCTCAGCTGCATCATCCTAATGTAACCGAGCTAATGGGTTATTGCTCAGAGCATGGTCTACATTTGCTACTATATGAGTTCCATAAGAATGGCTCACTACATGACTTCTTGCATATAGCAGATGACTATAGCAAGCCACTGACTTGGAACTCACGTGTCAAGATTGCTTTGGGGACGGCCCGTGCATTAGAGTAAGTTCATTTTCTGGGAAGCTTCAACATTTTGTGAACTTTTCCTAGCATATTCCTTGAATCATGAATGTCTATTCTAATGTTGTGGGGTGATTTCTAGCAATTTGTCAATCGATGCTTATTCAAGTTTTAGTATTATCGTTACATTTAGTCATGCTCACAACTCAAAAAATGCATATTTATATTTCTAATAGTACTGGAAGCTTAACAACGGAACAGGAATTGTTCCATATGTTGTACCTCTGTGTCCTTGAGTTCTAAGGAGATAAGAATAAAAGTACAGCTGGAAGCTTAACAATGCTGAGCTTTAGGGCATTTGTACCTTATAATTTGAGGATCCCAATTGATGAAAGCTTACTTACACAAGGAAATTTATTTATATTTGTTGTTCGACCACCTGAACTTGAGAGAACTTTTGTAGGTACTTACATGAAGTATGTGCCCCATCAGTTGTTCACAGAAATATTAAATCAGCCAATATCTTACTGGATGCTGAACTCAATCCTCATCTCTCCGATTGTGGCCTGGCTAGCTTTATAACCAATCTAGATCAGGTGAGTTTATCAAATCACAAGTTACTTATTTTGTATCTTTCATGATACTTAGTGAACCGACTCCAAGTGTGCATCCAACCAGAGTTGCATACTATGTAAAGAATTCAAATGGAAAGGCATTGAATATTTCAATTTATATGGATTTTTGTCAAACGTTCAGGCATTGGATCAGCAAGCGGGATCCGGATACAGTGCCCCTGAGGTTACCATGTCGGGTCAATATACATTAAAGAGTGATGTATATAGCTTTGGAGTGGTGATGTTGGAACTTCTAAGCGGACGCAAGCCATTCGATAGGTAAATATGGGCAAACTGAAATCCCGAGAATGGAAGTGATTGGTTTGTTTTGGTGAAATTTTTATGATGCATTTCATTGCAGTTCAAGGCCAAGAACCGAGCAGTCCTTGGTTCGATGGGCTACACCTCAGCTCCACGACATTGATGCCTTGACAAAAATGGTTGATCCAGCACTAAAAGGGCTCTACCCAGTCAAGTCGCTATCAAGATTTGCAGATGTTGTGGCTCTTTGTGTTCAGGTAATGAGCCTTAAAGTCAGAACTTTTACTTCAAAAGGCTAGTTAAGAAGCATAAAACTTGCTACATACCATGTGTTACTGTTCATTAATCGGCTGCTAAATGAAGGGTTCATTTTGTTTTTCCTTGGCAGCCCGAGCCCGAATTCAGACCGCCCATGTCAGAGGTGGTAGAAGCGTTGGTTCGGCTTGTGCAGAGATCCAACATGAGCAGAAGAACATTTGGAAGTGATCACACAGCATCTTTTAGAACTGATGATCCTGATGTCCAAGATACATCTTAACTGGTTTTCTTAAGCAATCTAGATATTAGGATTTCATGCAGACCCACCTTCATACACAGAAGCGTGTGTAATGTTCTGTGTTTACATTTACATTGCTTTTTAAGCTGTATGCATGCTGTAAAGCTCATAGTAAGTGAACCTGTTGGTGCAATCAATGAAAACCAAGGAGTTATTTTTCGCTTTATGGAAGCATCTTACTGCAAAGCTCTGATCTACTCAATTGGGGGCTTTCCCTATTGGGAATATTGCCGGTTACTCAGAGACATGTCATGTAAAGTAAGTGTTTTCAAGTACAGTACAAGGATGGCTAAATCTGTTATTGCTGGCCATCTCCTTTGTATGCGGTGTAATCGTTTGTCTTCCAAAAGATTATGTGTACAGGTTGATATATAAATGCACTGGTTCTGGTTGGCCAAATTTAATTGAATTGCATCCCATCCGCCAATTTCATGTAAGACAAGAACTGCAAAAGAAAGTGTTCCTCTATATACACTAATTACAGCCGTGAGTATATTATTAAAATCAGGGCTTGATACATGGAAAAGAATTCATGAAAACTTCATCAAGTGCCATATCATACAGTAAACTAAATTCCAGATCAAGCCTCAAAATGGATCAGAGTGGCAGTTTATATACCTCATGGAATCTCTACATATCATTCCTTTTCTGCAATAAAATTTGGTTCCTCACCCTGGCAAAGGTACTCATCGCACAGAGATGCAGAGCCCCAGTCCTTTCGTAGCCGCAAAATGTCCTCTGTGAATGTAGACCCAGATGCACCAATAAACGTGCTAGACATGGCACAGATTGTCTTGTCCAGCATTGCTTCAACCTACACGATGAAACTAAACTCTTTGAAGTTGCAGTAATGCTAAGCAAACTTGAGGATCAAAATTGGCACACAGAATAATCAAATCACGAACAAAATAAACAAGTCAGTTGTTTGATTTTATTGGTTCAGAATGAATATCGCACTGCATGCCATACGGAAAGCAGTACAGTTGGGAAGGACTCTGATTCAACATTTATATTGAGTCTAAACTAAGATCATCTCCTCCCACAGCTCAAAAATGATGATGCTAATGAAACTGAAAACGTATTAGAAAAAACACGATGATTTACTAATTATGTTTAATACCTAAATGAAGTTTCCAAATAGAGAAAACCAGCTTCCTTTTATCATTTTATCTTAAGAATATCACACAGCTGCCCTCTAGAGTTCCCAACATCTAAACTTGATCATGAACAGACCTTAATTATAAATTACGTAGTTATGATGTAAATTATACTGAAAACACTATTTCTCATGACACAACTTGATTCAGACTATTGAATCTTCATATGTGCATAACGGGACTTTAGACAGCTAAAAATAGAGGCTCAAAATGTTGAAAGTACTGGATCATCATGGACGCCCTAACCATGAACTCTGCTAGTTATCTTGCATAAAATATCGTTATAAACAAAAGGGTCGAGTATTACGGTAACTTTCTTTCCTCTAAAACCAAGGTTTCTGTAAAAGAAACGTTAAAATATTCTTAAGCTGACCTGCGGATCTCCCTCGATTCCATGCCTGTATAACAAGGCATCCCATTTTTCAGCTGAATTACGATGAGGCCTTCTAACAAGTGGTACATTCTTCCCATTCAACATAAGAAGTGACTGCAGCAACCCATATTCACTCTCTGCTGCATCTGTGGAAAGATAAATGACTGGCACATTCACCCTTTCAACCACTCGAATTATGCACTCTGCTGCTTGAGGAATGGGGTAAAAGCAACTTGGCAGCTTCGCATTACTGGAAGACAGAATTTCATTACCCACTTTGATATGAAATCTCCCAATGAAAAAACTAACTAGCAAAGTACATAAAACAACAAGACGCCCGATCCCATTTGTTAACATTGTAAGTCAAAACTACCCAGGAAAAAAAAAAACAAATCTTAACCATCCCTTCCAGAAGAAAGTAGTAATGCAGCCAAAAGCAAATATCTTGAAAAAACAGACTCGAACAATAGAATTTGTACGAACATATTGATTTTAAATGTATTACCAGAACTTTAAAAAACCATATCGCCGGAAATGGAGTGCGATATAATTCTTTCCCAAGAACGTTTGAATAAACCGCTGGGCAGTCAGCTTAATGAGACGACTTGGTTCTATCAAAGTCTGGCATTGATGAGCGATGGGGCCGCCAGGTTGATTCACCCACTCTTGCTCCACGCTAGCAAAAAAAATGTCTCCTACTGCTACAACATCGTCATTGGAAGAGAACTTGGATTCGATGTCTGAAACTGTCCTTCTACTGGGCTTCTTAGTATCTTCATTCCAAGCAGATTCAAGTTTGCCCATCGAGACCCCCAAGTTCTTCAACTTTTTAATATGTTCTTCGTCCATAAAACAAGGATCTGGTTTTGAAAAATAACAGATAAACCGATCTATGTGCAAGTGGTGCTTCTTAATCTCAGAAAACTCTTCAAAAGATACGACGACCTTTCTTCCCAAACATGCATTAATATGATCAATGTCAATTACCCTACTGAACTGATAATCAACTTTGTGACTAGGAATAACTAGAATCCTGTTGAGAATAGCAGCAAAGAACATATGCTTCTCCAAGCAGATCAAATGGTTCGACATTTGCCCCGAGGTGCATATAGCGAACAAAAACTTGTTCGATTTAGGCTTCCAGTCGATTGTTCGCCTATCTGAAAATTTCTGGTCCATCTTTCTACATCTATCGAGGGCGAAGCTCCCCATGGTATGAGCATCACCAACTTCCATTGATAAGTTCCCAGACCGATGGGGGGACAAAAGAACTTTTTGGATCTCTTTGTTCAAAGAAATCTGCTTCAATATAGCAGACTTGAGATCTTCTGTAAATGGGGTTCCTGAGGCTGAATTTGAACCCAAATTATTAGTAGGGGTCGAGTTGAAACTCGAGTTAGATTGAACAAGCAAGGAATGATTCCAAAGATCGAAAAAACCCAGTTGTTGCTGCCTCAACAAATACAAGGCTCTCAATTCTGATTCCCTCATTCGGTCACCGAGGGAATCGGAACTTTTTAGTTTGGAAGAGAAGTTAGTAGAGAAGAGACTTCGGATGTCGGCAGAGAAAAATACAACAAGAATGAATAGAGGCATGGCGGCCGCTAAAAGGTAGTAGTACCTCTTGTCAAATGCAAATTTGGGTACAGAGAAACGAAATCTCTGAATGGGAGGCCGAACATCCCGATCATCGTCAATTTGGAAGGCTATGGAGCGACTGCGAGGAGAAGGGACGCGCTTGGTGCCATTCTCTTCGATAAGGTTTCGGCGATCGTCTTCTTCGTCCGAGGACGAATCAGATCTATCCATTACCACCTTCGCTTCTTTCTTCTTCTTCTCCAACACAGTTCGGTGGACAATGTTCACTCAAAGTCACGAAGACGCCTTGGACTCTCCCAACAAACACAGTGACTGTGACTGGTTTTGCGAGAAAGATCCAAGTTTAATACTAAAGCAAAAGCAAAGCCCAACAATGAAGCAATATCATACCATCCGTCGGTGAACGAAAATGACACGCCATCCCATCGCCCCTCAACAAACTTTCTAACATTGGGCCGCCCCAAGTTATAAGCTTTTTAAAATTCTGAGAATTATGACACGACCATGCTATGCTAAACTTGTAATTTATCCATGAACATTTATGTACGTCAAAAATATTTGGAGAAGAAAATTGAAATCCTGAAGTTGAAGAGTAGAAAATGCAATGGAGGCTGACGAGATGCAGAAATGGAGCAGTTGGAGAACTCTGGCAAATAGTAGTTTTGTCAATGGGAGCAAGTGAATTATCACAGCCTACACTGTTGAGATTGTTTAAATAGGAAGTCGAACAAGACAGAGGTTGCTGATCTAATGTCGATACATGACTATCATGAATGCTCCAAAACTCAACAGAAACAGCTAGTTTGTATTACACAGTTGAGATAAATAAATGTGCTTCATTAGACATCACTAAGCTCCTTCGGCTACTTCAACCAGTCTCCCACGAACCCATTTCTTAGTGAAAGTAATCACTTGGGAATCCGCTTTCTCTTCCAGGAGGCGAAGTTTGGTCACATTTAAGGAAGGTTTATGGTCAGATGGCTTACTCCCATTAACGTGATTTGTCAGAGTTGAAAAACTTGAATGAGATACGCCGTACCCGTTGGAGCTTGCTGGAGGTTCCTTCTCTCCACCAAGTAGATCCTGCAAACTGAACTTACTAAAATCAAAATCTTTATCTATGCTCGATGGAAACAACTGGGTCCCGTTTGCCACTGGTTGAACGGCACCATTTTGGTCTTCTTTTCCTGCAAGTGAACCTCCCTCGTCGTTTTGGATACCCGCTTGGTGGGAGTATGAGGCTGCTGCACTCTGTTCTTCAGTCTGTGGTGATGCCATCTGCTCGATATCTATGGATTCAATTGATTGTATTGCTTCAGCTATGAGCTTTCTCGTTTCCAATAGGGAAGCTCGAGCAATGGGGCTTCTATTAGCAGCAACCTCAAGGGCCTTGGCGGCCTTCTCAGCTTCAGCAATCAAGAGTCTGCAAAGTACAAACTGGAACATCAGTATCTGTTCAAATGTAAATAGAGGTGTCTTGCATTCTCAACTAGAAACCCAAAAATAACTAAGCCTCCTAGGGTGTCCAGTCAAGTGATTCAACTTCCCCCCAGGCAACTTTCTAAAACAAAAGGTCCTAACGAGTTTTACAACTTCAAACAATGTAATCGAATGCATGCTTAACACATCAATGGGATTATTTTTCTTTCGAAAGCAGAGCTTTCATGAGCCTTAGAATTGGAAAGAATGTCTATGACTCTATGGCAAAACCTGCCATCCACTAATTTATTTAAGAAACTGCTCTGCAAGTAGGAGAAAAGAACAAACCTAGCTCGCTCAATGGCTTCCGTTTTTTGAGTTTCTGCGATTGCTCTCTGTGCCCTGATACTCTTTATCATTTCCAGCTTCGAGCTCGCTAAAGGGTCTTTAAACCGTGGTGCTTTGCTTTTCCTGAGTCTCAATCGTTGACTTTCAATTGTAGACCCACCTGCAAAAGAAGAGTTGACCTCACTCTTTTCTTTCTTCTGTGTGTTTCTTGTGGTCTCTGTACTTTCGCTACGCTTTCTCCTTGGCCTTCTGTTGACTCCAGCAGGTGTGCCATGATATTTAGCCAGGGCAGAGCAGACTCGATCACGATATTCCTAGCATATGATAAACAAGTAGAATGCAGAAGAGATAGCGGCTGTTAAGAACATATGATAGGATTGTGATGAGCTGTACAAAACAAACCTATCAGCATGAACCAAAAAAAGATAAGATTATGGTTAGTTTATTGTTGCGGTCAGATCCCATTTGATAAAATAAATGGTTGTGATGCAATAGGTCCAATAGAATACACAACGCTTAAAAATGAATCTTGTAAAATTGTAATAGTAGTCTGAACTCTGAAGGTTGGTTATAGGCTAATGGTTGTAGATGCTAAATGGAGATCCAGGTCCATCAGGAGAAGGTGTAAAAAAGCTCTAGAATTAAATCCAAAAAAATTCGAAGCAACTAAAGACCATTCGTATTTAATGAGCAAAAAGGTTTGTTTTAATGCAACCAATTATGATAAATAGCAAAAACATACAGGATCAGCCCACTTTGCAGAGATGGATTCCGATATCTTCCTCCTCTGCGCAGCTGACTTTGGTGCTCTCCTGTTTCCAACCGGCCGGGGCATTTTTTTCCGTTGCTCAACACTCTCCAACCACTCCTTTTTCAGTTCTTCATCCAAGATTTGGTAGGAGTCCCACTGCAGCTCTTCCTCACCCTTGTAGCCTCGTCTTGAACCTTCAGCAATTAAATTCTGCCACTCAAAGTGGCAAGTTTCCTGTAATATCAGCTTCTCACGGCGTCTTTGCCAACCCATTCGCACTCCAACCCCAATTTTCATCCTTGTTTCTTCACTGTGACATCACAAAGGAAGGGCAATTGAAATTCAATGGCTCGGGTATCACATATTTAGATGGTATTAACTGCAGAATCACAGATCATAAACCATTCAAATAAACAGAATGGGATGACACCTACCTCTGAGCATGGCCAAGCTTAACCAACTTCATTTTTACCTGCATGGAAAACAGCATAAATTAAGAGAATATGGTAGTTAAAAACTGGTGGGGTATTAAATATTGCTAGATAAATGGCTCATGACCAACTGCTTGAATCCTAGGATGTGCAACGCTATTCGTGGTTCAAAGTCATCGCTACCACCATAAAAGCAGAGGATAGCAAGATGGATTAATCACAGAAATTATGGATGTAGATGCCACTAGACAATTTGCAGTATAAAATAGATAGAGGTGTTAAAATTTTCTTGAAGATTGTCACAATTAAATTGGTAATTTGACCAACTAAAGGAGTTGGGCTCCGCTTACTTAGAAATTAAATCACCCAACTCAAACTAGTCATATTAGCTCCTAATAAACTTAATATTGTCCATCATTCTCACATTGACCAAGTGAGATAGATACAAGTTAATGAGGCATATTTGTCTCAACTGATATGCTTTTGACCTCGCTGCTTTTTCCAACCTCCAGGTTATACCAGATTTCTTGTACGAGAGGAGTTTCTTCAAGTACACTCAAGTCATGTCATGCTGTAATGCATAAGACCAAGTTATACCAGCAATAGAGTGCCCTATCAGACTCAATGAAAACATGACCCGATGATATTTCAAAGATTATCTGGGTTTAAGGCTATATATAATTGTTGAATACAAAAGTGTGGCGTGTGTGTAGCCCAAAATATATAAAGGCCTCATAGACCTACACTCATGAATTTAGGCACTGATGATCTTGTGTTGAGCTGGTGCACACATAGGCACCAAGTGCGCACCTAAGCCATGCACCTATTGTCCAAGCGTGCACCTTAGATAAATTGCTTAAGAAAGTGCATAAGCATCAGTTGAGTGATGCAGCACAGTTTACACACAAGCACCCTTGCCATGCACCTACTGTCCAGGCGTGCACCTTATGTAAACTGCTTAAGGGAGCGCATAGAATTGCTTAGGTGATGGGTTGCCACACTTGCACTGCATAACATTTCTCAGGAATGCGATGGAACTTGTAACCCTAAACATCTTTACTTAGAAAGAAACCAAAACATGTTTTGGGACTTGTTTTAGAAATGGTTTTGTGCTATTTTTAATAATTCATTGTATACTTGAAATCATTATTCACAAACTTGTAAATATTTAATAGAAGAACAAGTTGTTCTTAAAAGTGGACTAAGTCAAAGTAATGAAAAGAAGGGCAAAAAATTCCAGACACACAACTTTCAAATGACTTGAATATTAAGAAAAGAGAGAGAGAGAGAGAGTAATTACAATAGCTTTTGGAAAGGGTACACCATCTGAAAGTCAAAAAAATGATTTTATAAAAAGTCTCCTTTTTAGTGGAAAACTTCAAGTGTTACAATTGACACGAGAAGGTTATAAACAGCTGGTCCAATACAATTATTATGTTCTACCAGATACAAAATTCATCTCTGAAAAGCAACTCAAGCTGCCTAATAAAGTAAAAGAAAACGGAAGTCCATACAATTGATATAATAATGTATAGAGGATCGATCAACCAGTCAAACAGTTCGCATGAAGTACTTGTCATTTTATATTTATAGAAAACTGTTTATGACACTTAGCAACATCAACTATCATACTGAAGATTTAACGTGATACTGTAGAATATCTACTAAAACTTGATTCGATAGTTACAAAAAATAATTAACTAATTAACTTAGGTAGCACAACCAGCTCAATGTCTAGCGATTCCCCTTGCAAGTAAATGATTAAAACCGGATAAAGTATCATCCTACAAGACATCTCATTCCACAAGAATATGTAGAACCGTTCTTATATCTACAAGAATATATAAAACCATTCTTACATGACTTCACCTTAGGATCCTGCATCGCAAGCCTTGTTCGCTCCTTGATTCGTTTAAGGGTCTCTGCAAACAACTTGCTTATTAAAATTAAATGGCAAATCCTCAAAGTGCATAGACTAAACACTGGGAAAAATAGTCGATGTCTTACCAGCACTATGCTTTCTCCCTTTGTTCCACGGCGTGTTTCCTTTATTTGCTTTGGAAATCCTCTCTCGCCTCAACCTTTCTCTCGCATCCAATTCTTCCGAATCTCCACTGGAGGATGCAAGCCGAACGTCTGAAGAACTCGGGGCAACAGTAGCACCCACCTGAGAATTCCCAAATTCCCCCACAGAATCATTGCACCCCTTTCTTTGGCCGTTCCCATCATGAACCACACGAATGGATTCAAGGGTGGCAACCGCTCTAATAAAAATCCCCCGCCTGGGAATCTCAGTGAAGTTCACCSGTTTCGGTAAAATCAGGGACTTCCCAGAAGAGAAAAACTCCTTTTCATTCCAAATAGTAAGTGAAGCCAGTGACTTGTTAACACGAAAGCATGATTGAACAGTGAAGGTACGAGAAAAACTGTGGAAGACAGGCTGAGTAGTAGAAATCTCAGCTACAAAGGCGAGCAAAGCCAAAGATATAAAGCTCAGTAATAAAAGAAGGAAAAAAAAAAGATAAGGATGTAAAGCTCAGTGAAATGAAAATGGCATACCTAACAAAGGCATGGGAGCTCATTCAGTCAAACTAAACCTCCGGAATTCAGTTGAAAACACAGATCAGCAGAGGAATTGGCATTATAATGGCGTGGGAAAGGTTACTTTGTTGGTCGTTGGAAGATGGGCAACGTCGTTCAAATGGATTAGGGGAGCAGAGACGAAGCCAGACTGAGAACTGAGACCGCGAGCCTGAGCCACACAAGAAAGCAAAGCAACCACCCCCTTTGCTTTGTCCGATTTCATGGAATTGGAGGCGTTGCTGTTGGATAACAATTGAGCCCATCAAATTCAGTGCAAGGCCCACCACGGAGACGGAGCAGCCCATTATCCAGTTAAAGCCCTCCATGGCGGCCCATTATTTCAATAGTCAGAGTTGCAGATGCGCCTCTGTCTCAAACAATTTCTTATTTTTCCTTTATTTTTCGTTTTTTTAGTACAACATGAGAGGTGGAGGAATGAATTCACGATTGGCTTTCCTTTATTTTTAATTAGTCTTTTAATTTGAAGACTTTCTTGATACTTAATAGAATACGGAGAACATTGAACAGCATCCAACAATTTCATTTGAACCTCAACGATATAGAAATTTATTTTAAAACACAATTTCATAAAACAATTTTATAAAAAGTATATGTGATATCTAATATATCCAACATGTCACAACTAGTGGCAGAAAGAACATCGTGGAAGCCACTCACATCCGACGGGAGAAAATAGGCAGCTCACATCTTGGTGAAAATTGCTACGAAATTCAGAGGTGAAATGGGATGGAGAGATAATTTTCCCCGGTCGTTTTCTGATGTAACGGACTCTGATTATTTGTCTTAGTTTTGGTTAATTTTATAAAAAAAAAAGGACAAAATTTTTTTAAAAAAATGTACAAACGTGCACGTAGACCTGTACTCGAACTCGAGATCACCTACGTAAATCCGTTCCAAGTCATAACTTCATTTGAACTCTATGATATGAATGTCCAAAAACTTCTAAAGAATCTGAAGTCAACCATATGAAACTTACCCATCAATCTCATACTTGTGCATTGCATGTTGGAAGTTGTACTATATACCTTTGGTGCATTTATGAGATATTGGGACAAAGAATATCAAAATTATCATCATTTTTATATTTTTGAAATGTGTCTCGTTTCCAAAAATTAGATTGTGTACCATAGTCTTCTCTAAGAAAAATCATATTATTCAAATCATCTTCTAAATATCTCGATTAATTCACTCTATAATACACATTTACACCTAAGGGAGAATTCTTGAACTTTAATGATTGTTGAATGAAAAAGTAAAAAGTAGGTACGTAAATTCATATATTATGATCGTAAATTTTTTCTTATTAAAAATATTAACTATCTTTAAAAAAAAATGACAACCTCAAGGGCTAGAATTGAAATTTACTTACTAAAAGAGGGATATGGGTGTCAAAATACATTGAATATAGAGACAAAAGTGGTTGGTGATCTGCAACGGCCGACTTTCGGAGCTTTGCGTGAGACAATTATCTTTTTAGCATTTATAATTAAAGCAATTAAAATTACAATTCAATTGATAAAAACTCTCATCTCTTATGTTTTTGTTCCTTTTTACTTTTTTTTTTGTTCCAAAATTGTGAATTATTAAAATTTAAACCGACCTAAAAAAGAATTATGCTCATATTAATTACTTATATATTTGGTTAAAAACATCACTAGTAAGAAAAGCAACATAATAATATATAAGGTTTGTAAATTTACTGCGATTCTAATTCTAAAATAGTTATTTTAATATCAATTTGAGTATATCCAACTAAGTCGGATATTCTCTAAAAAAATAATAAATGGTTCGAAAATACCATTTTAGCTAAATGAAAAAAATATTTTCTTCACCATTAAATATTTGATAACTAAAAAAGAAAAATGTAAAAGAAATGATGAAAAATAATGAGTTGTCAAATATTTTTAAGGGCGGAGAAGACAATATTCACTAATATAAAATCATTTCATTAAATTTTCATATTTTTCTTCTCAGTCAATGAATTATACATGGTTGAGTTCGAATTTTGGTGTTGTGTTTCCGGAGTTTATGGTGTGAATTTGTGGCCGAAAGTTTATATGTATTGATGATCTTCTCTCTCTCCCTCTCCCACCCACTGCCTCCAATTATGTTCCTATAATCAACGACTTAATTATATAATAACATTTTAAGAAATGATTTGTCCCAAAATTTGAACAGATTTTACAAAAGCGACTTAATTTCAATTCAAAAAACCCACCTTTTACGTGTGAAAAAACCCGGCATGATTGCTGCAGCACAAACTTTAGGCCTCGCAAATTCATGAGTAGGACTTGGAAAAAGTTGGTTTTGGAGTCGTTCCAAATTTTGAACCTTCTTCTCCTTCTTCCTCTGCTCCCAAATTCAAGTCTCTGCGCGGCCATGGAAGACGAGTACAAGCTGAGTCGACATTCCGGCGACTCAGTGACTGTCGAGTTGCCGGCCATGGTCATTGTGACGGCCGTTCTAGTCTTCTTCTTGGTGCTTGTGTTTGTTCTCCTTCTCCAGCTCTACGCCAGATGGCTGTGGTCTCGGATTGAAGATCCCACGCCGCTTCCGGTGGAAGCTCGCCGCCGTCGCCGCCGCCGCCGCCGATTCGACTTCTCCTCCGTCCAAGACCCCAATTCCGGAAGAGGGTTGGACCCCACCGTCCTCCGGTCACTTCCTGTTCTGATTTTCCACCCTGAAAACTTCAAAGATGGACTGGAATGTGCCGTTTGCCTCTCGGAGGTTATCGAAGGTGAGAAAACGAAGCTGCTTCATGATTGCTGCCATGGATTCCACAGCGATTGCATCGATATGTGGTTTCAGTCCCACTCCACGTGTCCCCTCTGCCGGAACCCCGTCACCGCCGCCGCTGCAGAGACCAGCCAGGTTCAGGAAGAGGATTCTGCATCTGGGTCGTCTTCAGAATCTCCAATTTTCCCTACAAATGTTCTGTTTTGGGGAAACCAGGCACAGGTCACCTCCGCCGGAGCTTGTCCGGAACTGGAAGAGAGCTCTTCTCAAATCACTTCTCCGGCAGCTTCTTCGTCGGCATCGGCGGCGGGTCACCCAGATGCAGAATTGACAATTGACATGCACAGCGATCTTCAGTTTCCGCCATTGGCACCTAATGAGGAGCGAAAGTTACCAGTTGCCACCAGATTGAGGTCCCTGAAAAGGCTTTTGAGTAGGCAAAGAAGAGTGAATCCTTGTAATAATACCACTTCACCTAATGATGAAATGGAACAATTGGCCTGAGATGAGAACAGAGTAAAAAGCTACTCTGTTTTTCTTTTTCTTACGATGTAAGTTCAAAACTTGTACAAATTTCTTAAGAGCCAAAGACTGTTCGAGAGCATCTCTGAAACGAATGTTTTCTTAACTCTTCCGACGTTAGAATATGATTATTTTCAAGAGATTTTGAATCCTTTGGATCGATTTTGATATGTTTAGTTTGCCATTGATGGGATTGACGTATCAAACTACTGCTGATGGAATTGTAACCAACTGTAAACGTAAAATTTCGAAGAGGGTCAAGAAGAAAACATGGTACAACATAATAATAATCATTACATTTAATATGATTAACTCGAGCATTGCTGGTTAAGGCATTACACAATTGTAGTAAAAGTTTCATGCTTGAACTCAAAAAAGAAAAAAGTTTTCAAATTTCTCACACAAACAAAAACAAGAGACAATATAGGTCTATGTAACCAGATAAATTGGACCATAATTATGACTAGAATTGGGACTGGTAAGCTGGTGGAGACACATATAAGGGATCTCCATCTCCGTCCTCATACTGGGGTTGAAGAGACTAGCGATCGGTCCAGACGTCGGGCGGCGGCGGGGTCTGCCGTCGGTGGTCATAGCTCCGGTGTAAATCGGACCAGAAACATGAACAAGTCTTTTACTGGATGTGTGAGGATGATTTATTTCTGGTTTGGGCAGAGGCTTGCTCTTTTTGTCACTTTTCAACCACGAGAAGATGGTGGTTTTCCATGATTTCTTGCTCTTTTTCTCTTGCCCCAACCATTTCCTTCCTGCTTCTTCTTCTGTTGACTTTGAGGCTTTGAAATCTTGTACTGTGGCGTGATGTTTTGCTTCTTCCAAGAACTGGTAAAATTACAAACACGTTTCGTTAAGAAATGAAAATGGCAGAGTAATCTAAGAGGGGAGTGAATCACCTTGGAAAAGCTAAGGCGAGGATCAAATTCATCAAAACCAGGATCATCCATCTCGAGATCAGGAGAAACAGATTTGTTCATTGAACAAACGACGGCCAACCAAACTACCAAGAGCGTCCAAAAACAATATCAAGCAGAAGAGGTAGAAGACAAGAAACAACAAAGAATTCAGAGACATGAAATCCGCGGATCAACTTTTGTCAGCTATCAGGATGTTTTTTGTGTTTCTTGTGGTTCATATTTTTCTGCTAATGCTAATGCTAATGCTCCAAGCACAAACAAAAGAAAAGGCAAAATATGGAAGCTTGGTTCAGAAGAAAAAGAAGAAGCATTAAAATTCAAGCTTCAAAAGAGGAACACAGAAGAACAGGAAGGTGTTAAACTGCATCCAAATCAAAAGGGGAAATGTCCAACTACCGCCATTGGAGAACCCCATTTGGGATTCAATTCCACATTGTTTTCTTTCAAAAAGTGGCACAGTAGACAGCTACTAAGCAATCAAGGAATAAAGTTGAGGGACATGGGAAAGTAATAAATTTGTTAGCACCCAATTCTACCCAACATAATCATCAAACCACCAAGTTAAATATTTGATCGCAGTACACATGAGCATTGGCAATATGATTATTTATGTTATGTATATGTTTTCATTACAGTCTACGCAGCTTGTCTTTGGGTATTAAAACACATATCCAAACCTGTCTACATATTTAATTAAGAGGTAAACCTTTTCATATTGTGCTCTTAATAATCGCAGATATTTTGAACCCTCCATGAATGATCTACTATTTTTAAGCCAAATCCACACTACCGAATCATTGCTTCATTTTTCTGTTCTATGAACACAATGCCTATGAACCAAGAGATGCAAATTTAGACTTTAATTGTTGAACTATGATTACGTCAAGTACAAATTTATTTATTCGTTAAAAAATATAACGGTTATAACCATGAACGTCCGATTGAATTTGTCAAACAAAAAACATCTCAAGTTTCCTCCCTTGGCATAACTCAATTGGTAGAAAAATATGAAAGAATTGCACACAGTTACGAACATGTTTCAAAGAAAATTAAATAGAATGATCAACCTAAGTAGAACTCAATTTGGTTAAAGCATTTATAACATCAACCAAAAGATCTGGTTAAAGCATTTATAACATCAACCAAAAGATCGGAAGGTTGAAACTCAAAATAATAATAAAATAAAACAAAATAATGGACTGTGGCCCATGGGGATTGAAAAGGCAGTAGAGCGTAAAACACGGCGAAACTTGGGATGATCCGAGGAGCTCTCTCCAATCTAAAAAGTAAAAAAAGAAAGAACATCCTGCAGTGCGGTGGAGCCCTGTCCTGTCCTGTCCTGTCCTGCCTCAGCTTATAATACTTAAGAAAACATTATATAAACAAACAACGAGGGTTGGTTTTCAAGCAACTATTCCAAACATAGCACAGACTCAGCCAAATGAAACCCACATCACAGAACACAGCAGACACCCCGACCAACTGTACAGAGACTATGTTGAATACATGCAAAAATATGAGCATCTTTGACTTGCACAAACTAGTCTGTCTACCCTTACCACCTACGTGACCTTCCATTTTGTGGTTTCACGGTTGAAGGAGAGGCAGTGCCATTAACACGCCGAAGATCGAGAAGAGTAGCAACATCACCCATGTAGGGAACGACTGCTTCCGATTTCTTTTAACGTCTTCAGTATCACCTTTCTTAACATTCTCTTCCGTGGGCTTGACCTTCTCCAACAGGTGCCTAGCTTCGCCTTCCTCTGATAGCCTTGATGAATCATGTTCCACAACAAGCTGCTCCGACTGCTGCTGCTGCTGATTATATTTCTCCACATACTCCGGAAACAGTTTTCTAAATTTTGGGCTGTTTGAATTAAAAAAAAAAATAAAAATAAATAAATAATTGTCGCAACAAATTAGCATTGAAGTACAACTACAATTGTAAAAGTGACGATGGAGGGTTGAAAAAGAAAAATAACAGACAGTGGTTTGTGGATGACATGCCAATAAAGTGAGTGTGGGATCTAAATTCAAGAAAGATGACTTGCAATTTACACACTCGAGGAAGCCCAAGTTTTACAGCCTAAAGTAGAATAATCATTGTTTCACGTTTTTAGAGTCCGTGTTTTCCCAAAAAACTAGTCAAAATAACCCCAAAACAAACCAAAACCAACTGTCACAACCAATAGAAGATCTTTCTTTTTTAAGATAGAGGCAAGCCATCCAAATTTCCAATAATTTTTACGGGCTACTTCATTAACTTGACCAAGCCTACATAACAGAGGAATGTGTCTGGGAGATGGAACCTTAGAAGGGGTAAGCAAAAGAGGAACTACTTTTAAGGACACAAAATCCTGCACAGTTGGTGGGTGTACTTACTCTTTACAATTGAATGCAAGAGAAGCCTTTGCCAAGCGTTCCTTCTCAGCAGCAGTAGTATTCACACTGCCAGTCGTAGGACTGTTGTCCATCTACATAAGAAATTAGATCATCTCCCAAAATTAATAGATAATAAGAACAGATAAAGGCACAAAAGCAGCCATCTTCAATTAAACAACCAAAAACAAAATGAGCCAAGGGCCAAAATGTACTCACCATAAATGAAAGAAGTCCGGTTAGTATGCTGTAATTGTTGTTAAAAAGCGAAGGTTGAAAAAGCAAAATGAGAAAAGTTAGTCACATACCAAGCAACCACTCATAACTAAAAGAAAATTTTAGCAGAAGAGAACTCGGGTATGCAAAGAAAGTATTAACACCTCAGGGAGAAAGAAAAGGATTATGTCTCACCTTGACACAGACCACATAGGATTCCAACTTTCTGGGTGAACTACAGACAGATCAAGTCAATTAGAATCATTTCTATAGTACAGACAAGCAGGAACGATCATCCTTAAAATCCAAAAACTTACAGTCACTCATAGATAAGCAAATTTTCTTCTGTGCCATGAATCGACCATTTGGGGTGATCATGCTACAAAGAATTGAAGAAGTATCAGAAATCACAGTAAAGATGAGTATATGAGAGAGCTAACTAATGTTTATAATAATCTTTTCACAAATAGTTTACAGATTACTTAAAACATTCAAGATACATATACCTGATTCCCGGAGGTTTGTATGGATAATCTGGAGGAAATTTAATCTTTCCATGGTAATATCCACCTAACAAAGATTTAAAATTATTTCCATAAAAAAGTTAATAATACTAATAAAAAAAAAAGTTGATATCCCAGTGTAAATCAAAGAGCAAAATTAAAGTAATCTTGAACCCGAAAATCTTGAAAGAAGACCAACAAGAGAATTGAGAAGAGTAGTATTCACACTGGGATACAAGGGATAAAGTAAAACAAACTCACCCGCAAAAGGTGTCCCTTCACTTCCCTCCAGAACATAATCTGAAATGGGACAGCATTTAATACACAAAATAAAGTGTCTAAATGATAAGCAGAAAGCTCATATTTTCATGACAAAGAAAATCACATCACTAGTAGTTGGAACTTGAGAGAAAAAAAGCCTAATGCAAAAAATGAAGAGAAGTAAGAATCTAATTATGCCATAGAACAGGCAGGCTTCACGAACTCCCAAGTCCCAACATATTACTAACAGTACGTGTAATACTAAGTGATGGATAAACTGTAGACCCTCAACTTTTCCAGTCAGCCAAGAAATCAGACGATTTAACCATTATTTGACATTGCAATGTCCTACAGTTATTTCTCGATCTCTCCACACACAAAATGATAAACTTGTCATTTTACAGTCTGCATCAATTAGATACTGGCCTAAGTCAACTTCATAAATCTATTGTTGTATCCCACGTGCACACAATAATGAGGAGCTTAATGATCATCGTGACTAACATCAAAACAATATCAATAGAAACAAACTTACGCCACTCAAGAATGTTACTGGGAGAAGGACGAGCAACAATGTGAGAAACAGGCTCCTAAAAAATTACAAGTAGCTGAGTTAGCACCAATTGGGGGAAGAAATACAAAATTATACGTCAGCATTTCAGCATGAAAAGTGCAAGGCAAGAGTTAGAACATCAGTTTCTCGTTAAAAAATAATAAATAAAATTTTCCTTTGAAATCAAAATGTGGACAAACTTATCAAAAAAAAAAGTGTGGACAAACCATATGATAGACACCAATCTAACATTATATTGTCGAGATTTGCCAAGAAATTACTTGTCCAGTAAATCCATGCATTGTAACAACAGAATTTAAGGGGGAAAAAAACAAAAACGGATGACATACTTTACAAAGGGCTCTATACTCCGTCTGAAGCCGCTTGATACATGATTTATCTGCCATACCAAAGCTATTGACAAAGAAAATCAACTGCTATTATTCTTTCTTCAACCTCAGTAGCAGCAATGCCTGTGAGGTGATATAAACGGAGAGAAAAAAACAAATAATTAGGTCCAAAAATGAGGAAAAACAAATAATTATAGCCAAAATTTGATGAACACCGTAAATGATTTTTAATTCAAGAAAACGAAACATGCAGCAAATTTCTATAACTGGAAACAAACAGACAAAAACCTTATATACATATAGATGAGAAACAGGCCTTTCAATAAGAAATATACAAAGCATGCTGTCTCAGGACGGGGGAACAAGCAATGCATGGTCAGCACCAGATTCAATAGCTAGTAGTTCTTCTTATTCAAGTCACCTTTCACTATTGCAGCTCGCAAAGCCCTCTGCTGTTGATCCTTTAGGCTCAATCCAGCATTTGTTTTTTTCCATTTTATAATTTTATATAAGACAGGCGCAAAAGAATTGAATTCACAGGCAATTAAGAGTAATTGACTGCGTACAGAAAAATTAGAATTTCTTCTAATTTGGCACATTGTACGCGGATCCAAGATAGTTTAAATACTGCTCAAAGTTTAAAGAGAACGAGCACAGCAGAATTCTTCTCAAATGCTTCAAAATTTTAATAAGAAATCATCGGTATACAGTCGTAGATTCTAGTATCATATAATCATTCATCGCCCAATAATAATAAAATGAATAATGCAATTACATGCAGGAACAGCAATTTTGTCGTAATTTTGAAACTGCAAACCCCCGTAGCAATAAAAATTTATCAAATTTGTACTGTTCGTTCCTCAAAATTGATTCCGTGATTAATCTCTAATCGAGCACGCGAAAGTTCAGATCAGGATCACCCACAAACAATACGCGGACAAATTAAAACGGGAATGAAGACAATAAACCTCCGGCAACATCGGGGGAGAATGTCCATCGGAAATCAAGAATGAGAAATCAAAACCCCAGTTGTCCTGAGAAACAAAAAGTAATCAGAGACTGAAATCAAGTGGGAGTTACCTGAAATTAATCAGCCAAAGATTGCAATTGACTAGGGTTTCCGTTCGATTGAGATGAGTGAAATTATCCGGTGGCAGTGGATGAGATGAGAAATTTGACAGTCGCCCAAAATTTACAGAGGGTAGCGCTGCGTTCGCGACAGAACCGAGTCGCGGAAGCGAATAAAATGTAAGATTGTGAATCGGGACGACACAGCGCACCCGAGTTTGTTAACTCCCTCACCACGCCACACCCGCCCCCTCGTATTATTATTGGTTTTCTTCCCTGGGCATTTTCGTAAAACCATCATGCGGTTTTCTCTCTAATAATTGATTATTAAATCATCCATTGAAACTAAAATTAAATTTACCAATTTAATCCATCTTGGAACTCAAGAAAAGAAAAAGGAGAAGAAGACAATATTCATATACATCACATCTCGTCATAAATAGAAACTAATTAATTAATTAAATCACACCCCACATATATATATATATATATATATATGCCTTGAAAATTTTAATACCATGACATATATTATCAACATTGATATACATCAAATGTAATTATTATATATATAATATATATATTCGATGTACTTATAATCTATGATATATTAAATATATTTACAATTGATATACTAAATATAAGGTATATCAAATATTTAATTTTTAGTGGTATATCTGTTTAAATTCTAATTTATCATTTCAATTTGTTGATTAATATATTAATATTATCAATAATGTTGATTACTATATCACTACTATTTATTCAATATTAATATTAATTAGATACTAAATATAAGGGATATCAACGGTTTAAGTTTATAAATAATATCTAAATTTTAACTTGTCTTTTTGCATGTGCATGGTTCACATAAACCTTTTATATAATAACTTTATATTTAAAAAATAAAAATAAAAAATTGTGCATCATTGTTTTCATCTTTAAAAAGTATTGGATATAATAATATGATATCAACACACATATATCATAGTTATATTAGTAGATATAATTACTATATAAGTGGTAAATCATATATCAGTGGTAAATATATATATTAGTAGATATAATGGCTATATAAAAGGTATATAAGTAGTAAATTAGAAGCATATTAAGTATATATCAGTGTTATATTAGTGGTAAATCATATAATCATATAAGAAGTTATATCAGTAGATATCATAGTTATATCGGTATATCATTTGTATATCAATGTAAATTAGAGATATATCAAATATTATATATATATATATATATATATATATATATATATATATATATATATATATATATATATGTATGTATGTATGTATTGTATAAGCGTGGTAAATCAATGGTTATCATACGTATATCAGTGGTAAGACATATTAGAAGTTCAGTAGATATCACAGTTATACGACAAGTAAATCAACTGTATATCATTATTACATCAGTAGTATATCAAAGATATATATCAGTGGTCAGATATATTACAGATATATATCACAAATATTAAATGGTGAATTTGTAATTTTACAATTGGACCTCCATTTTTTCTGAAAAAAAATGCTATATTTGAAAAAACTGGTTGCTATTTTACTTATTTTACTAAAATTTTTTTCCATATTTATAAGTGCCAAATATGTTGTATTTATCTTTTTTACTAATATTATCTAAAATAAAATAGTTTATCTCCGTCTAGTCATCTGTATCAATAATAAACTGTTGTTTTAAATTTTAAATTTTCAATAGCCATCACTGTCACTATCACCCTCTTTTCTTTTTCTTTTTCCTGTTGGAAAAGGAATCATCACCAAAGTATTGAATAGAAAGACATTTAAAAGATATTGGAAAAAGTTTCATTTTTCCCCAACTTAGTGAATGAATAAATTTTAACTTTGAACTTAGTTTCATTAATTTAAAACTTTTTTATACAATACGTCAGGGATAGAATTCAAATGATCTACCAAGAGAAAATTTACATACTACTTTCATCAATTTTATGTCCAGTATAATCTTTGCCACGAACTATTATCTCTTCCTCTTAAATTACATTCTATCTCCTACTCTTATCTATACTTTCAAAAAAAATACATATTTATATTTGTTTTCCTTTCTGTTGCATTTCTTAATCTCCTATTATTTTTATTTGAATATTTTTACAATAACTTCACATTCCTTAGTTCATTTGTAGATCTAAATCTACCGTTAATATTTGTAGTCCAAACTCTAACGTCTCGTTATTGATATTTTTTATTTTCCCGACTTTTTCAAGGCCAAAATCGCCCCACTTTTCATTCTTTAAACCTCCTTCGTTTCACACGAGTTAAGCTAAATTAACCGAATGATTTCTAAAAAAAAACAACAGAATAGAA